CGCCAAACGAGATTACATTTATTCTGCGCTAGGCAGTGTGGGATGTCAATGGCTGTCGTTTTCTCGTAATTTGCTTGGTTTCCGCGGTAATTGTAAAATATCACAAATTATTGCTTATTTATAAACACAAATTGCAAACAAAAGTTTGTATGTTATTCATCCAGCTATCAATTCACAATAAAGGTATGTCACACCATCGTAATCGAAAGCAAAAGCGATTTAATTTACGTATGCCAGATTTCTGTTTTTAAACGGTGATAGATCCCGTAGCTCTATGTTCGACGTACAACAACAAAATTAAAAAAAAGACGTCCAAATGAAATTGTTAGGGCGAAATTCGATTGTAGGTCGCACCAAAGAGCTACGGAACCGCAGCTAGCTGATCGGCCAGAAACAAGTATTAGTGATTTTTGTGGTTTTGGAGCGTGATGATTAAATTTAATAACATGTGCTTGCTTTACATTACTAAACTGTTTTAATTCCATAATTTCTATTATTTTGAGCAAGGGCAAGGTCCTGTACCGGGACATAGTCGCACGGCCCCATAGACGTCCACGCATTGAGACGAATAGATCGTCAAGCCCCTGCGGTATGGACATAGTACATCCACGGTGTTTGTAAATTGCGATCCATTGCATTGTACCATTTGATGCTAATCTGTTCATTAGTGCAGCATATCTTGGGAGAGACTTGTGAACATATATTAATATTATAATATCCATTATAGGTGTATTTATAGACACTTATAAAACGAACTGACATTAGTTGAGGGGGTTTTAATCAGGATCCCATTGTTTACAACTGTTGTGGGGAATAGTCTTTACAACCAGAAACAGCAATGGTCGTATGCTAATTAACAAAATATTTTATCATTTTAATGGTAGATCACAAAAAAAAAACTTACCTGTAAATTCATATATCCATCAACTGATACTAGATATCCCTTGTACTCCATTCCCCATTTTAGTTTGACCATCACAGGTTTGCCTGTCAACCCATTTAGGAACGGTTTAGGATTCAGTGGTAATGTCTTAAAACACAACAAAACAAAATAAATGCAGTTATGAAAATGTGTAAAATAAACCTGTGTAAAAATATATCCATACAACAATGCATAAAAACTGTGTTACAGTATGTCCCGGGAAAAGGTAAAACAGAAAGAGTATGAACTCACCGCAGCCATTGTAAAGCATGTGAAATCAGAAACAACGCTTCCTGTACGTTTTGAGTCTGCGCAAAAGGTTATGGTTAGTTGTTAGAGTCCCTAGCTTCTTGAGTATAAATTCGACAAAGAAATATTAATGAACGTTTCGTCTTTATTTGGAGCGAATTGTAAAGCTATCTACCTACAACAAGTACGGAGAAGTTATGAACACCTGAAAAAATAGTCTTTGTTTGTTTTTTTGTTTTAAAAATCATGAAAGCGCGTTTTCATAATTGGAGGAGAGAAGTACAGAATCAATAACTCGAGGTACGCTTCCGGTATTTCAAATTTTGTTGTGTTCAAATACATTGCACTAAGAAAGGTGTTAGAAGTATGGGTGTTACGTGGTAAGTACGCACTGTGGATATCTTTAACTTTTATATTCAGCGTTTTATGTGCAATTAATAAAATTGAGCAATATAATTAATAATTATTTACCATCTTTGATGAGGGCATTGGTCGATGCGCATTCAAATAGCGTGTCACGATCGTGGAACTACCTCTGCAAAGCCATACATAGACCTTTAGGATCCAATGTAGAGCAATCAAATAAGTAAAATGGGAACATTATGGTGTTTAGACAGTACTGTGTAAAAATGGAAAATAACTGCTGTAATCAGTAATGTAGTTTGATTCATCATGTCAACAATACATTTGTCATACATGCAGTAGTTGGCAACAAGTTTTAAAATGATATAATATAATGCATTATAAAGTATGTTAAATTCAGCACACACAAGAAAAAACATGACTACGCCATGATGGAATTTATGTAGCCCTGCGTATACTGCTGTGTGTACGGGGACGTTCGGTTGATAGATGTACCCCACTACAGCTCTGCGTACCTCCCTAGACAAAGTCCTGGAGCGCACCAGAGTTGTTGTGCAAGTTAAAAATAAGTAGTTTCCAAGCCGAAATCGGATGAAATGACGATAGTTATCCGTAACAACCATTACAAAAATATCTGAAACTGAAACGTCAGATGTATTCTAAAACAGGGACTCATGTTTTGGGTTCCATCACTCTGTGTTTATCAGTTATGCATAGACTGATTTTGTTAAAAGTTGGTACAAAAGTATAGCATAAAGGTATACACATGCACTTTGAATTGTTTATTGTTGTGTTGGATTTTAACCGACCGGTTGTCATTTTTGTCTCCCAAATCACCAAAAACATTAAGATGATGCATATAATTTTTGTGGAGGCAGATTAAAATATCAATTCAGCCAAACCCCCCCCCCCCCCCCCCGTAAAAAATAGTAATTGACAATGACTTGTTTTTATTATGAAAATATATCTAAAAATTATATTAATAATAATGATCATTTACCAATACATATACTTCTGTACAAAATCTTTTGGTACACCATGTTGTACAATGAATTATTGCCTAAGTGATCTTATTTCAATTTGTATTTGTCTTATGTTTACTACAGTGTATGTCAGTGGCCAGTACCAGATAATAAAAGCGTACAGCAAGTTGTTGATATGATTGCCAAAAGAGTGGAACTTCTGGGCAGTAATAAAAGTGGAACATTCTGTGTGGACTGTGAGACTTACCAATCATCCCCTATGATGAGTAAGATAATTTCTGTTAATTTGATATGAGCTACTGGGCGGTAATGATGTAAAACTAGTTACCTAGTTCAATTTTTATCTATTTATAAAAATAGAATTTTTGAACCAAAGTGATCAAAAATATTTACTAAAACTAGAAAACCAGGGATATTGTTGTGAATAATCTACGTGCATCCAAGACATATAACATCAGATTCATGGTTCTAAAGAGGCAATATCAAAGGTGATAACAATGACAGACATTGGTTACACTTCAATTTAGAATGCCTTTCTCGTTAGCTTAAAAGAGGACCTACAATAAGTTACCACTTACTACTTCAGTTTTGTATACCTGTAACATATGGTGCAGCATGAACAGAATTGTGTCGTTGACTGTCAACATTCAGTTAGTCTACCATTTTCTTTTAGTGCTACAGAAAACAGTACATATAATTCACAATTCAGAACAACCGATGACATCATATGCAGTCATGGAAGGTCCAGGAAGTGCAGCCAACTGTTTGGTAGCTGATACTATGTTTGATCAAATAATGCAAAGACTTAAGGGGTTTTACATGCCAAAAAAAACACCCAAAGTGGAATCTAAAGGACAGCATTATGAGCTTGGTGATTTTAACGTGAAAATTGGAACAGTGACATTAGGTGGACATGCCAAAGGTATTCTACTGGAGGTAAGGATCATACACTGGCATAAGTACTGTACACTTTGAAGTGGATTTACAATGATAAACTCAGCGGTTTCACAAATGCATTTAATAGGTCATCATCCTGTAACAACAGGCCAAAGAAAAATAAAAAAGACTTACAGCAGTGTGATCGGCGTAGGTGGTCAGGGAGGAGACAAGAAAGTAGACGGCCAATTTGGGCTTATAGCAGGCCATGTGGCTGACAGCTGGCTCTTAACGTAACCCCTGAAACTATTTTTGTGGTAGAATACAATTTGGAGTGGGTTTACAATTATAGACCATTTTTGTGTCAAAAGGCTGATTTGTATGTTTTTCAGCTAGTAAACTAGTACTTGTTTCCCTGCAGTTTTTCTCTGTCTAGCTTGTAATTTCTTGTGATAAACAAAGCCACCACACCCCCCACCCCCCCATGATTTCAAATGGTCGACCCCTTAGAGAACTGTTGAAACAAAAGAGACAAGCCAAAATAACATTACACTGTCATGGTGGAATCTTGTGAACTGTTACAAGTCTAAAGCTGGTTTACAAACTGTATATGAATACAACTGTCGTAGTTACAGCCTGCAAACAAATAATGAGCCACCATTTTCATATTTTTTACATACCTACACACCATAATTCTTGTTTATTTGTTTTGAAGATGGTGAATAATTTTATTATTAATTAATTAATTATTTATTATTAATCCTTTATTTCAGGCCAAAAAAGTCCCATATTAAATACATAACAAACACGAACACTAATAAATACAACGTCTAAGATTAGTCCAAAATTTGGATAAGAAAAAACTGTCAGAGTTGACACAAGTACGAATTAAAGCATTATCGCTCGTAAGTAGACGCTGACTGAAGTTATATAATGCCTTGCGCTGAAGAGATTCAAAGTTGAAAATATTTCTACTCACGCAATTACCACTGGCGCTGCTAGCCCGTTTAAGGCTAAAGACCAATCTTATAGCGTT